GGAGAAGGATCGTATTTGACCAAAGTGATATATCTGCTCTACTACGCGCCATTCTGAATTGCACATAGTAAAATACGACTTTCTAAAATGTATTTCAAAGAGAGAACAAAACTACAGGATTCAGAAGCATATCATACACAAAGTTTTGTTCAGCCTCAAAAAGAAGCAACAAAAGAAATATCGCTAATCGTTATACTTGGAATCGCCATTCTGAATTGCACATTATGCATATGTTGGTCTAGTTACAGCAGATACTGAAGGAGCGCCATAGTAACTTGTTAATATAATAGTAAGAGTAACAAAAGAGAGTTTTCGCGATTTTCTTCTCTGATCCACAGAAAAACTATACCAGTCATGAGTGAATAGAGTTGGTTAGCATGTGGTGTTTGCAAAATCGGAGGACGGTAAAAAGACATAGAAGTATAACATACCAAAGGCATATCAAAAGCAATGAAATCCACAGGCATCTTTGCAACAAAGACCATCCGAATATTCGACAAGTAGATTGTACCTCTTGTTCTTGTTTTTCCTACACTGATAACAAACAGTCTCATTAACACAGCTTCATGAACTAATAAAAAACAATGAAGGCAATGCAAGAATCATGTGTTTGAAAAACAAGGAACTCAAAAAAGTAAAGCAAATACATTTAACCATATTTGACACTTCACATCGATTTTATCGTCCTCATCCTCCAACTAACCTCATCGAAGCCAATATTTTCATTGAGGGGTTCAACATCTAATATATATATATACATAGAGATATGGGCACAAAAAATAATTTTAACCATATATAAACAGTATAATTTTCTATCAAAAGGAACCTAATTAGCTCCGCCCCTGCTGTCACCTCCACTTCTCATAATATTTGCATAAAATTATACATAAATACTTTCAGAGTTTTTTTTTTCTTCATATACACGAATAGAGAGGATTCACAAATTACACCATATAGATAAGATAATTCTTACATATTACAATAAATTTTGAATATTGAGGGGCTCAAATTTCATATCGAGGTTTCAAGTTCAAAAATTAAGCATTTTTTTTTACGAATCCCTAAATGAAAATTCTGAATTCGCTAAATAAGATGAACTCACCCAGGGATTTTGTCAACCTCAAACTCAACACCATGTCTAGATAGGACGAACAATTCATTGAGGAAAGGAATTGGCATTCCATTAGGAAATAATTGAGGATTCACTGCCATTTTTATTTTCTGTTTCTGATCGGAAAAAAAAATCTCCGATCGGAAAATTTTTGGAATTTGGGATTAGCTTTTGAAAATTGTTGTTTTTCTACGTTCTAAAATCTTAGGAGGTACGCTTAAGATTGCTTATGAAATTTTAGGGTTAATTTTAAAATCAGTCAAAATAAATAAATATAAAATAATTTACTAAATTATTTCTATTTATTGTGAATTACCAAAGCGACGATTATTTAGATATTTAGACCATACTATTGGCATTCGATAGAGCGGAAATTGTATAGAGTAAGATTTATGTACATAAAATCATTTCTAAATCTTATTGAATTACATTGAACACGATATTATTGTGAATAATGATATTCACGTAATGTGGTCGTCTACATCGTATAGACGGCCATAATAAGTGCCCGTTTGGATGGGCTTGATAAAAACAGCTTTAAAAAAATACTTTTGAAATTGCTGAAACTTATTTTTAAAATAAGCAGTTATGCGTTTGGATAAAAGTGCTGAAGTTAAAAAAAAAATTGTTGATGTGTTTGGCAAATAAATGCTGATAAACTGCTTTTTAAATCAAAATGTCTGAAATACTCTTAAAAGTTGTTAACATAATAAAAGTTAATTAATTTATATTTTACAGCCATAAATAATTATATTTTGCTATCATTCACATATTTCTTTCTCATCACAAATTATTTATAAGAGGAATATAAACTTATTATAGATTTTAAAGATATATAATTTGAAAAGATCAAAGAACGATTTAAGATTTTATTTTAGTTTCATCCATAGGTAATAATAATTGTCTATCATTCACATATTTCTTTATTATCACAAATTATTTATAAGAAGAATATAAATTTTTATTTAAGTTAGATGTGCAACTTATTTTACATTTTAATAATATATAATTTGAATAGATCACTTGAAAGATAAGATTTTTTTTATTTTTATTCATTAGTAATAGTAATTATCTATCATCCACACGTGAAAAAGGAAAAATGAAAGAAAGAGATATTAGAGTTATGTAGGTAATTTGGAGATTGTATAAAAATATTAAGGCCAAAAACGTAAAAATGTGATCAACTTAAAACAGCTTATAAGCTAAAAAAAAAAAAAGCATCTCTACCCAGCTTTTAACTTTTGACCTAAAATAAGTTTTTTTAAACTTAAAATAAGTTATTTTGAGTATTGCCAAACAGCTAAATAAGTCAAAAACCAGTTTTTAAGTCAGTTTGACCAGTTTTTAAGCTGAGCCAAACAGGCTCTTAACACTTGTCTATTGCCTGTTTGGCCAAGCTTTTAGCTAACTTAAAAGCATTTTTTAAAAGAAAAAAGAACACAAAACTGATGTTATAGAATCAAATATAATTACAATTATAACAAAGGAGACGTAACTTGAAGTCATGTAGAAGAAACATATAGATACCAATCAATCAAGTGAACCTATAAAGTTTACACTATTGTGAATCTATAAAGTTCGAAGTTTATTTCTAAAAAAATTAAGAAAGTTATAGATATATACCGTTCAGCCGACTAGTTTACTAAAAAATAAATGTAACATACACACTATTAAGTATATATGTTGTGTATTAGTATATGATGTTTAGTAAAGTATACACGACTTATACATTGTTTGTATTTTATAAATAAACTAGTTTATCGAAGTGTTTAGGGATCGTAATTATCCCTAATAAAGGAATATATATAATTCCTCTTATGTGGCTGAGGAAAAATTATGTTATAAGAAACCAATGAACTATTTGTACTGAGACAGAATTGAATTAGAAAGGAAGCCGTTGCATGCAGGGTACGTGGAAGGGCCGCACCTGAAGCAAGCATTCAGTGGTTGGTTCCGCTGCAGCTCAAACAATGACTTGGAACTTACACGGAGATAAGTTTACTATTGCTCCAAGACTTCCGTTCTGAGGAGAAATGAATAACGAGTAAGCATTCAAGTGATTGAAATAATACAGAAAGTTGGTAAGACACAAAAAGGCAGTCTTCACACAGAGAAATGAGAAGTAAAATCTCCATTGTTTCTCAAAAAACAACTAGTTTCAAAAAGTTGTTAGTTCTTGAGCATGCTTTATGTTGTTCCCTGAAAATCCCTCTTTCAAATATGCAATTATTTACGAGACAAATAGACATAATCAAGGCGACCAAGGTTCAACTATGATCGATACTGATTGTAGATACAATCTTATTCTCCTGGAAAAGAGAACGCTGAATTTGAACTAAACTGAAATTCCAAATGTGATAGTCGTTATGAAACACCATATTAGCAAGAGTCTAACACGCACCCACCAACATTTTTGAAGAATTTGAGCAATAGAGGCAAGAGTAACGCATGGAGTACATAGAAAGCTTCCAAGTACTTGGTACCCATGGTTCGCATCTTAAACTCGACTTATCCCAAAATCCAATGAGATCATTAAACAAGCAGGTTCATTGAGTGGATGCTACCCAATATCAGACAAACTATCTATCTAATAATGCGGAAATGGCATGTTTATTCTCTATTCAGATTCCTCTGATTGAAACAGATGAATGTGAACAGAAACAGATACAGCAAGATTTGACACGAGAGAAGACGACTAATATGATAAATAGGCATGCTGAAAACAATAACATTACCTTCCAGTGTACATCAATAGTCTCGTAAAGTGGGAAGCAAATAGAAAATCAACCGAAGCTTTCAGACTTCAGATCCAACAAAGTTTGTATTCTTGCACCATTTGCTACTCTGGATGGTTACTTGAGATGAAATTAATGCAGAAAGAAAATCAACCAGCTCGTGGAGTTGAAATCGATCATGGAGAACATAATTGCTCCGGCTCGTAAATAAAACATAGGAGACTTTAGTTTAAATCTAATAAAACTTCAGCAACTCAAGAAAGAAATGCAGGTAAACAAAGCAAGAAACACTTGCTCTATATTAGAGAACCAATTTAAATTAGAACTATTGGGGCAAATCTTCAAGACATATATAAACCTTCTTGTTTTCCCAACGGGATAGCTAGAAAGGTGTGGCTAGCTCGTTGTCAGCTTGAAATAAGACTAATCAGATGTCTCAAAATTGGTTTTCTCGCTTTCTAAGGCCAGATAACTGACAGGGTATCTATATGCTTTATCTTCTAAACTAATAAGATTCAAAAAGAATCACAAGTAAAGCGAATATAACCACATCTTACCTAATCTGATGCAAAATTAAAGCTGATAGGTGTCGTTAATCTCAGATGCTGCAGAGCAGAATCCTCCCAGATGCTGCAGTGTAACTCCTTCCTCCTCCATGTTGAAGCAGCACATGATAGAATACGGCATCATGTCATCCATAAATGTATGATATACTATAACATTTTTAACAACTACAGTTTAATCTTCTGAGTGGTACTGAGGAACTTATATAGCATGAAGATCATTAACGTAAATAATCATCAAATACTCTTTCTGTTGAAACTTTGAGCTGTTCCATTTCGAATCTATGGCACACATCGCACATTTATACATAGAATAAACATCAAGCTGTAGCAAGATTATCTGGTCCATAACCAATCTAAGAAAGCTTGAGTATAGAAATTTAGAGTTCTATCCTCCTTATACGTTCGCCTCCACAGCATTTCATGTTTCAACTTCACACTGTCCCATGCATTAGTTGATCAGTCGACACGTGTAACCAGTAATGCAATAAATGAACCATTTCATTTTATACAGTATGGTGTCAACTCAATCATTGAGATGTCGAAAACATCTAATTATAGCACCCATTCAAGATAACACAATGTAAGTTGAGTAATAAATTGAAGTCCATAGCAATCTTTTGAGTAGGAAAGTTTAAGCTCACAACTGATATAGTTTCAACAAATTACAGAATTGAATTCAACGGAAACCGCCATGGTTTCCTTACAAAACATTCATGTGGAACTACAGGTTTTCATAGTCCACACTGATCCCCTATTATATCTTGTTACAATGTGATCAAAGCAGCTTATTGTGAGGTCTGCAAACAACAGAACAAACCCCACCAAATTCATCATCACAAGCAACAACTTCCCCTGATGCTTGTGTTTCGTGTTATCGTCCCACAGCTTACAACACCAAAACTCGGTGAACGTAAACTCTTGACAAATGAGATATAGCAAACAAACCTAATCCTAGCAATAATTCATGAAATTGAACAAGCCCCTAGTTCATTTCTCACTCACTAGAACCTAGCAACAAATTTCTCATCTAACACAAACAAGAACATTAAAACACATTTATACGATATATTAACAACAATAACGATAACAATAACAATAACAATAATCATATCTTCAACGTCCGTCGTCGTCTCTTCTCCCGGAAGAGGGCTGTGGAGGACCTGATAGAGAAGCTAGCAAATTGAGATGCCCTTGAGTCATTGGTAAGTAATTCCCAACTCTAGCAGCTGAAGCCTCACCCATCTGCTGCTGAAAGAATCTAGAACTCTGCGAACTTAACGCTGCCGCGGCTGCAGCTGCTGCAGCCGCGGAGGTTGGCACCATCATTTCAGGTGGCGGTGCCGCCGCAAAGCTCCAAATTTGACCAAAATCAGGCCTAGCTGGAACAGCCCAAAACCCAGCTGTGGGACCCACAGCAGTAGCAGCTCCGGCAGCCACAGCTACATCATCCTTATTCCCATTTTCAATGTTTTCGTCATCTGACCGGAGACGTTTCCCGAGGATAAACGGCGCCGGTGAAATCATTTGTGATGATTTCTGATCAAGTGGAGCGGAGAGTGATGAAACAAGAGATGCAGTTGAGTTCCGTACCGATACAGATACAGTCGAGAAACTAGCAGGAATAGTACCAGTACCAGTAGCAGCTATAATTGAAGGCTCAGCTTGACGAAGCAGCCATTCAATAGTTTGTCCATCGGATTTATGACCCAATTCACGAGTAAGCTGAAAAACTCTTGCCGCACATACAATTGGCATCCTTATACGTCTTCCTCTACCATCAACCTTACTATGCCGGTCTTTTACCGGCGGTTTTTTCACTGTTAAAGCACCATTTGTACCAACCCCAGTAGGCGCCTGTTGTTGTTGCCTCTGAGGATCAATTATAGCTCCATTTCCCTCTGCAGACGTCGACATTAGAAGCTCAAAACACTAGCAGCAAAAACGGTAGTGGTGGAAAATTACTAGGATTTATCAACAAACAAAACCCAACAATAATCGAAAATCAAATCCAAAATAGAGTACTAATACGGGAATTGTGAGCTGAATTGAGCAAACCCCAACAAATAAAAAACAACAAATAATTGAAAATCAGGTCCAAATAGAGCACCAATATGGGATTTATGAGCTGAATTGAGCAAACCCCAACAAAGAAGAAAAACAACAAATTCACCAAGCTCTGGAAAACAGAGCTCAATTAAACAAAACCCCAAACAAAAGAAGAAAAAAAACTTTTACAAATCAATAAAGCAGGTTCAGTTGAAGTTTCAAGTAATAGAAAAAGCTCGATTCATGGAAGCAAAAAAAAAAAAAACAGAGCCCCAAAACAACAAATATGTAAAAAAATACAAGATCCACCACTCTTGTAAAGTATAGCAAGAGAATGAGAGTAGAACCAAAAAACAAATAGTATGTAAAAATAGTAGAGATACAACAATGGAGGGGGAGGGGGGAATAGGACTAATGATTGAGAAGCAGGAACTGGTGGTGACAGGAAGAAGGTCACATGGGTGGTGGGGACATTAGTACTACTCTCTTACACATATATTCACAGCTCATCCCTGCTAGCAATCCAGTACAGTACCCACTACCCTCTTTCACGCGCTCACTCCCCTCTCTCTCTCTCTCTTCAATCTTCACATTCACACAAAAATTTTCACCATCTCTTTCCATTTTTCACACTTCTCTTTCCGTGGTTTCTTTTCGTCGGTCGGTCGACGTTCGATTAAATTTGAATTTGCGCTCTCTTAATTAAGAACGAATGAGTAACTCATCACTATATCATAATTTTTATCGGTCACTTTCTTTGGATGTACGAAAAAACTCCAACTTTGAAAATGTATGTTTTTTAACTTGATCTTAACTGATAATACATATTTCAATTCATTTTTATTGGCATGAGTATGACCGAAATTCATGAGACACGCCTTAACTAAACTAAGATCTTACTACCCCTTTAACATTTTCTTTTTTTTGTAATTTTGTGCACAACGCCTCAATTGTGTGGAGCCATGGAGTGTGTCACGTAAGACAAAAGGTGTATATAATTAAGCAAAAAATAAGTTCAGAGGATAATAAGACATTAGTTTAATCAAGGTGTGCCTCTGAAACTTCGATCATAGTCTAGAAGGGTACTTGTGCATGTGCATTCTCCCTTTTTATTGTGTTTCATGAATACCTAACTACACATAAATTTTGAAGAAGTATTTATACATTTAAAGTTTTAAAATTTGACATAGAAGAAATTAGTTAAAGCGTCTAGATGTTGAATATTTAAAATTGAAGATTTATTTAACAAAACTAAGATTAAGTTTAATGTATTTTTTTTGCTAGATTTTATTTGTACAAGTCATTCATAAATTTTTAAAATGCAGTGTATTCTACTTCCTTTAATGTTCTTTATAGGAATATTGTGAAACTATATACTGTCATTTACATAACATAATACATATCTATGTGTATTAAAAAAAAAAATTAGTTGCTACTATCTAAATCAACTTCACTTATTCACCATTATTGGAGTTTCAAATGACTATCGAAAAATTAATAATTTTTTTTTTTTTCGAAATTAATATTTTTGAAAAATTCTAAAAGAAAATGTATTGGGAAATTTTTTGATCTTTCTAATTTCTTTCTACTAGAGTTCTCTCTATGACATATTCAAACTAAGGTCTTACCACCCTTTAACATTTTCTTTTTTGTAATTTTATGCATTTTTTTGAGTTACGTGGCATTCAAATATCTCTTACATGTCTCAATTGTGTGGGGTCATGGAGTGTGTCACGTAAGACAAAAGATGTATATAATTACAATAAAAAAATAAGTTCATAGAGATAATAGGATGTTAGTTTAGTTAAGATATGTCTCTAAAACTTCAATCATATTCTAGAAGGATAGTTGTGCATTCTCCTTTTTTATTGTATTTCATGAATACCTAACTGACACATGAATTTTAGAGGAGTATTTATACGTTTGAAGTGTTAAAACTTGACATATTGAAGTGTTAAAACTTGACATAGCAGAAATTAGTTAAAGTATTTAGATGTGTATATTTAATATTTTTTTTAAACATAATTAGTTGTTAGTCTCTCTCATACTTTGAAAACACATATATTGAATTAATAAGTTAGTTTTAAATGCACTTATATTTGATTTTACATATATTTAAGAAAAAATATATCGTAAAGTCATTCGAATGAATCGAGTTTACATTTCAACTAATTAGACAATTTATTACTCTGTTTTTCTTTTTTTTTAATCGCTCGAGTTACTTAAATATTAATTTAATTTATTCCGATAATTTCATTAATAGTTACTTATGTATATATATATATATAATACCATCAAATTGTATTCATACAATATCAATTAAATTAGATTTTGTATTCATGTGAAATGTACTCAAGAAAGAAAAATATTATTAATGAAAAAGGAGAATGAAACTTAGGTATATAAAATTCCCCATTTTATCATAATGTTATCTTTTAGGGAAAAAATAGGGAGAATTTAAGCTTTAAAGGTTGTCAGAGTGGGTCATATTAATCCGTACTGTGGACCAAAAAAGTCTCCATAGAGGGAAATTTTAATTTGAAGCTAAATTTTTTAATACATATTTTTCCTATTTTTATTTAAAAGTTTAAAAAAAATAAAAAATTGGTCCCCCTACATTTCACTATTTAATTATTATTGTTGTTAGGTTGGTGGGTCCCACAATTTGTTTTAAAAGTATGGCCCACAAAGTTGTGTATATTTTTTGATCAATAATTGGGTTTGTTGAGGCTTGAGTTTTAAAATGACTTGACTAGTCTACTTATTTAATATAAAAAAAATTGAAATAAATTATAAACCAAAATGGTCAATAAAATGTTGCATGTGTTCCAACATGGTGGTTAATGTTTAACCAAAAGTAAATAAGCTTTGAACACTTCATGTCTATCACAAAGAGGAAAAATGAATAATTTTTATGCGGACTCTTTATTTTCGATGCAAATGGTATATTTTATTTGTATGTTGTCATGTAATCTTTGTTAAGTAATACGTATTATTGTATCAACGTAAAGTTGAGATTAAATTATTTAACTTGATGGGAATAGAAAATATGAGAAAAAACAAGAAAGAGACTTTGAAATATAAGTAGTAGATTATTTTAAAGTAGACTTTTCATTCATAAGATATAGATGATTGATAGAATTTTATAATACGTTATCGAATAATTCTAATTTCAAGAATCTCAAGTTCGCATGCTTCAAGCTTTCAGACGAGCATTTGATATTATGTTTTGAAGAGGATCGAACTCCTACACTTTTTTTGCTTACGTAAAGGTAAGATGATCTGAGTATGTGTAGAGGAGGTGTGTCAATGCTCCAGTTAGGAGATGTGAGAGATTAGTTGTAGCATGTAAGGGCTAACTTGAAAAAGTATTGGGAAGAGGTGATTAAACATATGAAATGACGCTACTTTATATTACAGAATTCACTTAAATAGGAAGAAGTTGAAATCACGTATTAGAGTAAAAGGTCAGTAGGGATAGAGTGTTGTCTTGTTTAAGCTTGTTAATGCATGTTGTAGCACTAGTCGTACATTTGTTGTAGCTCTTAAGTCTTATTATATATTGTTTATAGTATCTCTATTATTATCACACTGATTTGTTGTTATTTATTTTTCTTGTGCAGACACTACAAGTACGATCTTTTATTAACCGTTATGTTTTCTTCTTTTATTAGTTGTTGTTGATCAGTCGAGGGTCTTTTGAAAACATCTCTCTACCCCCACGGAGTACTGATAATATATGCGTATATTTTATCCTCATTTAACCCTACTTAATGAGATCTCACTGAGTATATTATGTTATTTCAAAAGATAAAACAAAATAGGTAAAAAAAAAACTCACATATTTTTTTTAAAAATATTTTTCTTTCGTAACGAACGCATCGAAAATGCTAAATAATTTGAGCCTATTTTTAACATAGAATTGGTTATAGCAAAATTTGGTATTGGATGAAGAAATTTGTCATGGTTGTTAAATTGTCAACATCAAAATTTCAAATGGATAAGGCTCGTTAAAAAGGAACTATTATTATGGATATTAAGTCATAATACACCAATAATTATTTTTTAAGAATTTGATTCCTTCTACCTTTATGTGCCTAATTGTAATTAAAAAATTAAATAATTATATATGACCAAATGCCTACTAATTCATTTATATCAAATTGAATTTTGTAGGTAGTAAATGGGATAATTAATTAATTAATTATTAGATAATAATATGCATGAAAAAAGACACGAGAAAATAACAAGAAGTCACTTACGTATGAAAGTAGTTTTCAAAATAAAATTTTAAAATATAGTTTTAAACCAATAAAGTCCAAACAAAAGTATATTTTAAATAAGATTTTAAAATAAATTAATTTCCTTTATAGTCCTTCAATAATTGAGAAGATTCTATTATAGTCATTTTTAATTTCTTTCACCATATATAATTATTCAAGTATTGAGAAGATTCTATGAAAAATCACTTTTTAATTATTTTTTTTCTTTACTATAAGATTATTCAATTTTATGTTTTATAAAATCTTTTTCCCTAGCTAGATTTATTAATTTACATGCCATGTCATAATAATTATTTTTATATTTTATGTCAAGGAGAATAAAGGTTACATGACATGTTATTTAAGAAATCTCATAAGAGAATGAAGTTTTTGTAAGACATAATATTATAGTTAGAATGACTTTAATACCAAAAAATTCAAAAAAATAATTTTAAAACTTAGATAATTATATTGAGAGAAAAATTTAAAATATAACTTTAGTGAAACCTTTACAATACTTAAATGATCCTTTAATCAATTAATTCATTTTATTTTAAATATATCACTAATATAAAATGATAATCGACTTCAAAAGTTAACTTATGAAGGAAGAAAGGAGACTAATTTATCATTCTTTTTTTACTATTGAAAAATTTCTTAATGCTTCCTGCACGTCCAGATCTCATTAACTAGAGCGCGAACAATATAATATAAGAATCTGACTCTAGTATTATATAAAAATAGATCTTAGAATAAAATTTAATCCCAAAAATAACTTATAAAAAGAAAATTATCCAAATTCTATATAAGGAGATCAACTTCGTATCGTTTTCGACGTAGACTTCTTAACCATAAGAAATCATTTTTCTTTCAAAATAAGAATAAAAATATATAGTGGATTCATGGATATGATGTAAATTTTATTAATTGATTTGGAGCCCAAATGTCAGAGAACTCAATTTATTTATTTTTGGTCCCAACTTGCAATGTTAAATAAAGCAATTTCCCTTTAAAGAGTGAAATAAGATTTAAAGTATTATATTATTGTTACTCCAATTGTATTATCTGTTCCCCAATTTAGAGACAAGGCAATTACAAAGTCATTTATCATTTTCTTAAAATAAATAACCGGAAAAAAAAACATTTTTAATGGGTGTCTAATAATTAATAAGCCTCTATTTTTAGTTATTTTGAATTTTTTTT